GTAGAACCCAGAAGCTGCTTTTCATACTAGTGACAAACAATAACAGTAACAACAGCTTTTTGACAAAATGCTTAAAAATAAATTACAAAAATTAATTTGATAAAGTGCAAATTAAAATATAGCTGTATCTGCAACTGTATTTGATAATGTTTTGAACTTTTAAAATATTGCATGGTGGAACTAGAAGCTGCTCTTCATATTAGTGACAAACTGGCTTTTTTAAAAGGGTTACCTTTATTTTTGCCTTCTACTTTTAATTTAAAATAGGTTTCCATTCTCGGTAGCTTTCTAAGATTCTTCTACGTATTTAAAAAAAGTTGTTAATCATGGTTCTTCTTCTATTTGTTAAACATCTGAGTGGCACACTATCGCTACTACTGGTGAGAAACTGTATTGCAGCTTATTCAAAATCARTGCAGTCCCACGGCCCTCTGTGGCCCAAAGTTAAAAACTGTTGTTCTTTTGAGGCCCTCAAGGTGGCGCTCGAGGCCCATAGGTCAAGAATCTCTGCTCTAGGCCAAAGAGGAAAAGGACTGTGCAGATTGTTATCTATCAATCAAGTTCAAAACCCAGCCTCTCTGATGATATGGGGTGTGTTGGTATCCATGGCATTGGTAACTTGCACAAGACAATGCCAAGCCCCATTCTGCACCTTCTGGCTTTGTTGTAAAATAGTGTGGGTACTAGACTGGCCTGCCTGCAGTCCAGACTTGTCTCCAACTAAAAATGTGTGGCGCATTATGAAGCCCAAAATACAACAACAGAGACCCCGGACTGTTGAAGATAGGCCTATATATCAAACAAGAATGGGAAAGAATTCCACATACAAAGCTTCAACAATTACTGTCCTCAGTTCCCAGCTTTTTTGAAACATCTTGCAGGCATCAAATTCAAAATCAGTGAATATTTGCGAAAAAAAAAACAAAGTTTGTCTGCTTGAACACTAAATATGTAAATGTCTTTGTGGTGTAATGTATTCATTTGAAAATAGGTTGAAAAAGATTTGCAAATCATCACATTCTGTTTATATTTATGTTTTACACAATGTCCCAACTTCATTGGAATTGGGGTTGTACTTGGTTAATAATGATTTAAATGCTGAATAAGGGGAATTGATATCCGTTTGAAGTAGTGGTCATTTAAGTGATTGTTCTACTTGTGAACAACTGATTTTCTTCACTTTTGTAGAGTAGATTTCAATAAATAAAAACATTCCATTCCAGCACATACTGAATGAATGTGTCCCTCTTTTGCTTCTATACCGGCTCAATGTCCACTTCCCAGTATTATTTTCTTGTTTTTTTTTTTTTTTTTTTTTTCGACATCATCCAGAAGCCCTATAACAACAAAAANTCCCTCTTTTGCTTCTATACCGGCTCAATGTCCACCTCCCAGTATTATTTTTTTTTTTTTTTTTTTTTTTTGTCTGTCGACATCATCCAGAAGCCCTATAACAACAAAAACAAAGCCTCTGTTAGATTGTGACAAGCATCACACCTGATATCTCATCTATTGCCGGAGGTATGCAAGAAAAAAAGCCTGACTTGCTGTTTTTGAATTTGTTGTTTTCGACACAGTTGAAGGTGAGCAGCTAAATAAAGAAATAAGCAGGGGGCTTAAGAAAACAACAGTTCTGAAAACACTCTTCTACTAATGATTTGGACCTATTTTGCTTTGGTATTTATTGATATTGTTAATGATGAAGTTTCAAATGATTCCTGATATACCTCCTTTTGTGAAGATGTTTTCATATTTTTATCAGGTGAATGATGTTGTACAGCTCCATGAATAACTGCAGCTTAGAGAAATGTTTGCACTCATTGAAGTGATTCAGTTTTCTGTATGACTGTAATTCTGTGGTATTCTCTTTCATTAAGCATGCAGCAGTTGTGACTAAAGTGCTTTTGCCTGATTACTGTTAAATTGATGACAATCCGTTGAACCGATGTGATTACCAGAACCTTATTAATTATCTCATAATGGATCTGTGAACTGGACTGAGTGAGGCACAAGCACATTCTTACAATATGATAACATGAGCAAAATGATTTCAAAATATTGTGGTATTAAAACATATTCAAGAACAACTATCTTGTGAATGCTACTGCTGCTCAAAAATATTGCGTTATTAAAGCTATAATTCTAGTATGAATAATAGTTACTGATAGTTTGATGCACAGATATGGAGAATGAGCATTAGTGAATAAGTTCACACTTATGTTTTCTTTAAAATTTTCATGCTGAGTTAAAACGCCAGAGAGCCAACAGGCCGTTTAAAAAGAAGGTGGGATCACAATACACTAATACCCAAACACATACTGTACATTGAATTGTTGCTAACTAAATTTTAAAGTACTAAAGTAGAAGTACATGTTCAAATTATTTTCTGCTGTAAAATATTGAGAGTCTGTTAGCTAGGTAGTTGGTACTGTCTTAGTTATAGTCTGCACTTTTTACTGACACACACAGTGTTATCTTAGAGAGTAACGAGTGGCGCTCCTCTGCTAGCATCTGTGCTTTTTGATACCAGTAAAATTTCCCAATGACTGAAGGGTTTCAGTGGGTTTCTACTCGTGTAAGCTCAACAGGTGAAGAGGGGGCAGTGCAAACTGAGCGATCTCTGCRCAAGATGGTGACAAGTCACTAACAACGGTTTAAAATGCTGGAACAGTATGATGATGTTTTAGATGGTYTAGCTGATGTATTGAAACATGAAACCAGCTCATGGTTCGTAAGAGGAGGYATAGTTTTCAGTTTACTGGCATTGTCATCCCTCTGACTCTGAGCTGTTTCTCTGTCTCCCTCTCCAGCTTCACGCCTGTAAGAGAACTGGCTCACCTCTGCCATCCTTCTCCTCTTACATCCCCCTGTGTCGCACCAMAACCACGTGCGTTCCCTGCTCTATTCAACCCATGGAGTGTGCACGCCCACCCAGATAGGATGCCTGCCTCGCTCGACGCCCTGCGTCCCCTCCTGCCCGTCACCACCACCACCTCCTTCTCCTTACGTGTGCCTGCTCTCTCCAACGCTTCCTTGTGGCACTACAGACTGTGCCCTGCCCCGCGACAACATGGTGGATGAGGTAACCACCATGAAGGATGATGTCATCAAYGCCAACACGCTGGCTTGGCTGGTCTGCTCGGGCGTATCCATTCTGGCCAACACCTGGAGCATCCTCAGCGTCAGTGCGAAGCAGAAAAAGTGGAAGCCACTGGAGTTYCTCATCTGCACTCTGGCGGGGACACACATCCTCAACATGGCCATCCCCATCACCATGTACTGTGTCATAACGCTGCGGCGCCAGCACTCCAACTACGAATGGAATGAGGGTCTGTGCAAGGTGTTTGTGTCCACTTTCTACACACTAACACTGGTCACCTGCTTCTCMGTCACCTCGCTCTCTTATCACCGCATGTGGATGGTACGCTGGCCTGTAAACTACAGGTAGGACATTTGATTTTGAGCTAACATAAATGCCATACTTATCCAGTCGTGACTTTGATCTCAATCATTTTGTCTTTATTGATTTATTTAATCTAAAAGGCGAACTGACACATTGTGTCATTAAGCCAGAAATGATGTTTGTAAGTGTCTTTGCCTCTCTCTGTGTGAATCAAAAGAGTTTGTGATTCTTGGTGATATCGATATGAATTGGGCTGATAAAACTTCCAAAGGCCTGAAAGCAATGCCTATAAACTCAGGGCTTCAACAGTTAATTAAAGTACCAACAAGATTTGGCAAGACATGCAATTCCATTTTGGATCTTATTTTCACAAATCRATCCTCCATATATGGCATATCTGGAGTTATAAATATTTCAATCTCGGATCATTCACTTATTAATGTCATTAGAAAAAACCTTAAGAAACCTACAGGTCATGTGCATAATTTCATTAAAAGGATTCCAAAGTCAAAGTTACCATGTTTCATGCTGAGATTGAGAATACTAACTGGAATGAGGGTATTTCTCTGTTAAATCCAAATCACATTTTGTCAAATTTTTATGACAAGTTGGAGAAAATACAGGAAAAATATATTTCAACTTGTAAAGTTCCAGTCCTGAAAAATAAAATTCCATGGTTGAAGGCCTCTGTAATACATCTCCTAATGTTGAAGGCTTCTTCAATGAAAACTTATAGAATATCAAAAACTTCTGAAAATCGTTCTCGTTTAAACATTTACCTAAATAAATGTGTTGCCGAATTACGCAAAGCCAAACAACAATATTTTAAAAATCAAATTATTTCAGCCAGTAAGAATCCAAAAATATTTTGGGAAACGATTTAGTCAGTGACAGGTGAAAGTAACAATAAAACATTTAATA